GGCGATAGTGCATGTGCTTTTGGCGCCTGCAGTCTGGTGGGATAGCGTTCACATAGCAGAGATCGGACTAAAAGACAAGTAATAGAAGACAGTCAGCGATTCTATCCAGCACGGGACTCGCTTCTCTCGTGACCAGATTCCTATATTATCGAGGATTTGTCCCATACCTCCAAGTTGGGCAAGCAAATACGCAAGGAGTAAGCCACATGGGCCGGCCCCAACGATCAAGATGGGCACATCGTCGTCGCAGTGGGTTTCCTCCTTGGTGGGCGACATGCTGTCGGTCTGTCTATGGTTGTAACGATGGATGTCTGTCTATCCTAATCCACTGTGTCTTTTTATACTGGCTCATCTTGAAATTGAGCAAGTGGGAAAGGCTATCATATCACTACGTGAGATCGACTTGTTTGTTGTCCTTCGCGGCTGACTCGCGCGCCTTGCATCCCCCACTCCAATCAGAGTGGGAAATTTGCGGAGAATCCGGCCCTCTATGCGGGGATGCCTCTCTTACTCTCCATCTTTCATGCTTCCATCCTTCTCATTCTGATATTTCCTGGACTTCAACTATGTTCCTCTTCCTTGTTGATGATATCCATGTCTGCCAAGTGGCACACCCCATTCTTCCCCACATGAGAGTCCCCACCACCCGCTTTTCTACCACTTGATGGAAGATTCAGTCCGACTCCTGACAAATGGAGTCCCTGTGTTTGGTCATGGCGACCGATGTCCAGCCATTCCCCAGGTTCCGATCGGATCTGGAGCTGTTTGCCGTGGGCAAATCCACTAACCATGCGACGAGACTGAAGCTGTTCATGGCATCCAGTACAGTCAGTGTGGACCGGTACTTCCCCCGTACTCCCACGAGCACTTTCTTTCTGCCATCATGAAACAGCGAGTATTATGATCGGAACTGTTACACACGGGTCTTATAAGTTGAAATGATGAGCTCCCAACTTCATTTCAACTGATACCATCCAGACTACCAACTCTGCGGGGTAACTTACGGCAACAGAGTACCATACCGTAACCACATGGGCCAACGACACGCTAGTCCAGGTCCGGTTTACCCGCAACGGCGAGAGTGGCACGTGACCGCCACGCGCCCATCCGAGAACCCCGCGCGCATCCCATGATTCATCGACCAGCAAGCCCGATGCTATGATTGGCACTTTCTCTTGCCAAAGCTCTAGAACTCTCGCACATCATCCTGGTCTACTTGTCAGTTACCTATCAAACCAGCTGCACCCTATCAATTTATTCCCAACTGTTCTGTTGAGATCCCAACAGTTGGCAATACACCTCTCCTACCCCGGCGATACTGCATCGGAGTAACTCTCCCAAATTGATTAGCTCAGACCCGTTTTGGTTTCTCCGGCATAGGCCTAGTCTTAGTCTAGTCTGGGTGGAACACCGAACATCATCATTCTTCGCTCACTGGTTTTCCTTCTAAAACATTTTCTTTTTTTTCGCGAAGCTTCTTTGCCGGTGAAGCTGGATTATTGCGACATTTTATCTGGCAAGCTGCGGTAACACCTCCTCCTTTGAGCCACGGATTAAGGGAAACCAACCTCCCTCAGGCGGAGAACCCCTGCGAAATAACAAACAGACGGTTCTTATTGCTCTGCCTCTTCCCCGGCTTTTTTTGTTCCCTTTTTAACGCGCTTTGCTGCTGCCGTTGTTTTTGCTGTCCGCCCCAAGAAACTCCCGCCTGTTGCCTTAACGTCACTGGCAATTAAATCCCCCGCGGTCATGAGTTGAGATCAACACATATCATCTCATCTATTCCTCTCCCCTTTTCGATTTTCTTCTTCTATACTTGCTCTGGATTCCCTGTTGTGCACCACTATCTAGCATTAGTGTCAAATTACAGACGCAAGTCATGGCGCGCAGATTTATGATCCCGTGGTTGTACGACCTCGGAGTGTGGATTTTCACTCTCTGTCTGGACATCTTCTTCCGCGAGGTCTACTCGCGCGGCGCATGGCGGATCCCCAAACGCGGCCCTGTCATCATCGTCGCTGCCCCTCATGCAAATCAGTTTGTAGATTCCATTCTGTTGATGCGCATCTTGAAACACTATGCCGGTCGCAGAACCTCGTTTTTGATCGCAGAGAAGTCCATGCGCGAGCCGTACATCGGCACCATGGCCGGGTGCATGGGCGCTCTCCCCGTCGTGCGATCGATGGACCATGTCAAACCCGCCAAGGGTGAAATTTACCTCCCCGATCCTGACAACGATCCGACCCTGGTCCGTGGCAGAGGAACCGACTTCACTTCCGATCAGTTCATGGTGGGCGGCGCCATCATTCTCCCGCGTGTGGGCAAAACGAGTCCGGAACAACAGGCGATTGAGGAGATCTTAGGACCCGAGGAAATTCGTCTGCGGAAACCATTTAAGAAGTTCGAGAAGGACCATCCTCTCTACGAGCCATTGCGCAAGGGTACCCCATTCAAGGCTGCCCCCCACATTGATCAGAGCAAGATGTTCGCTTCCGTGTATTCCGAGCTGGTCGCAGGTGGTTGTATCGGTATCTTCCCGGAAGGCGGAAGTCATGATCGTCCTAGTCTGTTGCCCTTGAAGGCCGGTGTCGCCATTATCGCCCTCGGAACGCTCGCGCAGGATCCCAACTGCGGTCTCTCCATTATCCCATGCGGCATGAACTACTTCCATCCGAACAAGTTCCGTTCCCGTGCCGTCGTTGAGTTCGGTAACCCTGTGCAAGTTCACCCGGATCAGATTGAGGCCTTCAAGGCTGGTGGAAACTCGAAGCGGAACGCCGTGGGATCTCTATTGGAAACAATCACGGAAGCACTCACTGCAGTAACCCAGCAAGCGCCCGACCACGAGACCCTGATGGTCATCCAAGCCACCCGACGACTGTATAAGCCCTTGCGAATGAAGCTCCCTCTGCCCGTTGTGATCGAACTGAACCGCCGACTTCTCAAAGGCTACACCCAATTCAAAGATGAACCCAAGGTGCTCCAGTTGAAGAAGGCCATCTCCGACTATAACCGCCGTCTCCGGGCCCTCGGAATTCGGGATCATCAGGTTGAATGGGGTGACGTGACGCATCGGCCGTGGTGGCTTGTCTTTGGTACCTTGTTATACCGCGTGGGAGAGTTGCTTACGCTTGCGATCGGAACCTTGCCATCGGTGGCACTTTTCTGGCCTGTCTTCGTGACGGCCAAGGTTGTTTCGGTCAAGAAGCAGCGCAAGGCCCTTGCCGGTTCCGTGGTCAAGCTCGAGGGTCGCGATGTCGTTGGAACGTGGAAGATCCTGGTCGCCATGGGATTGGCACCAGCCCTCTATACCTGGTATACCGTAATTGTGACGATCTGGCTCCATTACTGCCGCCATGACGGATACTACGCGTCTGTAGCGCCGTGGTGGCTGAACGCCAGGACTTACATCTCCGACTCGATCCCCCTTGCGCTTTTCTCGATCTTCTTCTTTGGCCTCATGATCTCTGTCTCATTCGCGGGTCTCCGTATCGGCGAAATTGGTATTGACGTTCTGAAATCCCTACCTCCTCTTCTGCGGGCCCTCGACCCAAGATCCGCCAATTCGCTCGCCAAACTCCGCGCTGAACGCCAGGCCCTTTCCGCACGAGTAGTCGACGTAATCGACACCTTCGCCCCCGAGATCTTCCCTGACTTCGAATCGGAGAAGCTTATCTCACACGAACACCCCGAGGACGACACCTACCAATCCCGTCTCAAGAGCATGCCCCCCAGCGAGCCCGAAAGTCGCAACCGCAGCAAAGACCGAACCAGCCGGAGCCGATCCCGAAGCGCGGGATTCCTGTATGATACGCTCCTCAAGCCCCTCTCCATCAAATCCAAGGATGATCTTGGAGAAGTCAACCGCCGGATTCATGTCTCGATGCAAGAGCGCGGTCGTCAACGTGTCCGGAACGAAATCGACCCCGACGAAGATGTGGTTTCGCTTGACGGTTCCACCAGCGCTCACAGCGGGGACATTGCGGTGGAGGAGGTGAAGAAGACGAAATAGTCGTCTTGGCTTTTCAGCCGAGGATGGACGAGAATTACCACCTCTCTCAACCTATGAACCCATCAATCATCAGCACAAACCAAAATCTCATTTCATATCCATGTTAGTTCACTCTCTGTCGGCTTCTTCTTTGAGCGGGATTTCCGTAGCATGGCGTAGGCCTTATTATTCGGCGTTTTGCGAAAGCATGTTCTGTTCTTGTCTTGTCTCAGTGTTTTCTCTTTTTCACCGCTTGTTTCCAACATGATTCAAATCCCCCCTGCTTTGGCCCTTTATTCTATCCCTCGGACCTAGGCGATGCCAAATCAATAATGAACTGAATTCCTTTCATATTTCACCTACTCCCTTTATCCCATAGGATAATTCGGGACGGGAATAGTTTTATCAGTATTCGCACCCACTCCCAATAAAACCAGCTGAAAGGGTACTGATTGTTATCCTGAGATGAACTACCGCAGTCATAAAGAAAAAAAAGAGAAGAGGAGTTGAAGTTTCAGCGGGAAGAAAACTCCCCAAGTAACTAATCAACTAACTAATTAATTGATTAGTAGATGATGATAATCAACACTAAGTTCAGTGGAATAATCCTGGTCCGCGAGAATAACTCCGAGGTCCGAGAAAAGGGCGGGCACGTGCGGGGCCAGGCAGTAAGTGAAGAAGGGATGGATTGTTAGACGCGGGGTTCGGCGGGTGGTGGCGGTGAAGGCGAAAGGATCATCGGGTGTCTAACCATCTACTGAAGTCTGTCTGTCATGATTTCGTTACCTCTGGGGCAATGACTGACTAACTAACTTATCTACAAAGTTATCCATCGTGATGATTTTGGAAAATTTCTTCATCGATCCGGGGGCGAGTGGCGAGGGAAGTTGTTGATCATTGATACTTTTGTTGTTCACATGCTACTAACTACTCATTATTACTACTTTCACTATGCTATGCTATACTACTATACTGCGAAAATATAGTTTGGAAAGAGAAATATTCAGTAAGATGATGTATTCGTGTTTATCGAGGTGCTGTCTGTCTACACCGTCGCTTATGGGATACTAGTCTATGCGCTGATGTATATGCTGCGAATGCTCATTAGTAGTAAATCATCAGGTTGCGGGTATCATGTCAGGTCGTGTATATGAGATGATGAGGATGCTTGTGGCAGAAAGAGATGATGAAGGTGTCGTGTCATCCGCTTAATGGGCTGTCAACAGTCCTAAAGGGTGATGATGAGTGACTCGGGACAGGTGGGAGGAGTGAGAGGTCTTAACAAGCACGCTTCTCCAGAAGCAAGCCTCCGGAGGGCGTCTTGGTGCTGAAGCCATCGTCGCGGCTGAAGATCTTCTCGCCACGCAGCCAGGTCTCGCGGACCAGTCCACGAAGCTTGCGGCCCTGGTACGGTGAGCACTTGTTGCGGAAGAGCATGGTGCTGGGTTCGACGATCCATTCTGCGGTGTCGTCGAAGACACAGATGTCGGCGTCATGGCCGGGGACAAGGTCACCCTTCTGGTGCTGCAGGCCAACCTGGACGGCAGTGTTGGTGCAGCAGAGTCGTACAACGTCCTGCAGAGCCTGTTGGGTCGTGGTTTCGTCTGCAGCTTTCAGGGCCTTGCGACGGCTAAGTTCCGTCCACAGGATGGGAAGGCCGAGGCCAACTGATGAGATACCGCCCCAGGCGGAAAGGAAGCTACCCTCATTGTCAACTTGAGTGCTGTCGCCGTCTGATGGGCAGCAGCCAGGGACGTGGGATGGCAGGAGCTTAAGATCAGGGGTGCAGGGGGAGTGGTCCGAGACGACCGTCTGGATCACGCCATCTTCCGCATGGCGCTCCAACTCATCCCACAGAGCGTCCTGGTTCGACTGGGAACGGATGGGTGGGCAACACTTGTGGCGGGTGTCTCCATCCCGGATCTCCTCAGCCGCCAAGGACAGGTAGTGGAAGCAGGTTTCCGCAGTGATAGGAACGCCATCAGCGCGGGCTTTGCGCAACAGAGGGATAGCTTCCATGGCAGACAAATGAACAATGTGAAGAGGGAGTTTGGGGGCCACCTCAGACAGGTTAATGATCTCCTCTACGGCACAGGTCTCAAACGCCGACGGACGGGATGCGAGGAAAGTCGAGTACGCCTCTGCGGGACCTTCGAGAGCCTGGTCCTTCTCCTCGGAATCAGTGGAGGGCGGCAGCATCTCGGCGTGGAACATGAGGGTCGTGGGCTCATCCGCTAGCTCAGCCATGGCCTTACGGATGTCTTCGGAAGACACGGCAGGGAATTCGTCGACCTAGAACCATATGTCAGCACACCTACAACCTCCAGAAAGAGACAACTGAGACTTACCCCACTGTCAATGAGGAAGCCCTTGAAACCACGGACACCCTCTTGGACGAGGGCCTTCAAGTCACCGGCATTGCCGGGGATGATGCCGCCATAGAAGCCAACATCAACCCAGCACTTCCCTTGGGCAGCACGGAGTTTCTCCTTGAAGTTGGCCACCGTGGTGGTAGGAGGAATAGCATTCAGGGGCATGTCGATGACCGTGGTGACACCGCCAAAGGCAGCCGCCTGGGTGCCGGTATAGAAGCCCTCCCATTCGGTGCGGCCCGGCTCGTTCAGGTGGACATGGGCGTCAACCAGACCGGGGAGCAGAACGTGGGGGGAATAATCAGTATAGGGGGTGCCAGCAGGGAAATCAGAAGCCGGGATCACCGAATCAAAGACGGCCGTGATCTTGCCGGTAGTGCGAGAGATGACAATGGTGGCTGATGTCAAACGGCCGGAGATGACGGCGCGCGACGAGGCGATCACGGCAATGGATGGGATTTGAGAAGCCTCCATGGTGAGGGTGATCGATTGGAAGGATTGCGCGCTAAGAGAGGCCAAAGATGCAAAGAACGATGAAGCTGCAGAGCAATCAAAGCCAGGATGGGCGGACAAAAAGTTAAAGAAGCAAAGACGAGATAAGCGATAGACTGATGCGGAAAGGCTCCACCGGCGTCAAAAGGCAAGGGATGAATTGACTTGATAAGGATGAAGAAGGCGAGAGGACGAATTGCTGGCTGCGATAAGGGCTTTAAATGTTTGAGAAGATAAGCCGCCATTGTTCCCTGGAGACCCACGGCGATCGAACCAAATAATCCCATCGAGTAACAAAAACCTGGCTCCACCCCCTTTGACGGATCCACCGGCTTGCCATCCAAGCGTCTTTTTCTTTTTTTTTTTTTTTTTTTCTCTTTCTCGCCCATTCTTTCTTCACGCCTGACCTGTTTGTCTGCAAGTGCCTGCCCCGGTAACTATCCTTATCACCATATCGATAACCGGAGGTTATATTTGTCCACCTCCTCTCCTTCTTCCTTCCCCCCAAACGAGAGGGTGCCTTTTCCACTGGACAACCCCTTCGTCTGTACACCCTCATTGTTGCCATTTCGGGACGTATTCCCTCGTGGGGAAAGTGAAGAGAATTTCCGGCTTATCTTCTGGGCCAGTCAGAACCATGGGTCGGGCTATCGGGCGCCTCCGGCATCCGCCATCGGACCTCTCCTGCTGCAATGCAAGTGATTGCCTCCTCACCGCTGTTACTCGATCAAATCTCCAATTCCGGCCCGTTTAGGCAATTCCTTTACTCGATCAAAATTCTAGCGGAACAAAGGTCATGAGGCCTTGTGAAATTCACCCACCCTGATTGTCTCACGCACCCTCGCTTCGGCTGGACGGTTATCGCTGTTCACCTTAGCCGAGTTATCAGACCTGCCTACCTACCGTAGTCTCCAACTTCTGCTCGTTTTCTGTCCCGCTAGCAGCGAGTTCAGCGAACAAAGTCAATTGCATGCTTTGCTTCGCTTACACGCCTGTCATTGACTGTGATCACCGTGCCAAGGATCGGGGATTTTCGGGGACTCCCGGGTCCGGTCGAACCCTGCAATTGTCGATGGCCAAGTCAATTAGTTCTTTCAGACCTGTCTCGTCTCAGAGGGGCTGCATCTATAGACCGGTTTTCCCGTGCCTTGTCTATGTTTAGTTGAACAAAACACGTGGTGATGTAGAACGTCAACAGACTGCAAAAGAAGTGAGGACTGATCCCCGTCGACTGGAATGTTGTGGCAAGAGAGGCAAGAGGCAAGAGGCAAGAGGCAAGTGAAATGTGAGAAAGTGTAATTAGTTAGGTGCAGAGCCCCTGGCGCTGTGGGGAGCTGACTAAGGCCCATGTGCCCGTGGGGTGTTCCTCTCAGCTGGCCTCAGGCCTCTTCTCCAGAATTCATCCCCGCCTTTGCTTATTACCAAGTTGTTATTGACCTGGATGAGAAGACGTGTCGGCAGTACCTAGGTACTCGTCCGATATATGATCAGCTTCTATTCTGTCTGCAAGCAGTTTGACTTCAGTATGGATGGCTTCAAACAATCATGGTAAACTTTTTGACACCTCCGGCTGATCTGAGCGATCTGTTCATGATGATGAAATGAGACAGTAATGGCTTTTGACCATCACATTGCAGTGTCTGTGTGTGCCTTGTCAGGTCTGACTGCAGTAGTCGTCAACGTCATCACATGTTTCCATACCATACATACCTGTCTCGCGGCCTTCACCCATGTGAACTACAACCCGTCTTCATGCAATCCTGGAGTCTTGGTCACCTGTGCGTGTGACACACCCTTTGTGGTTAGTAAGTTCGCCAGGTATGCAAGTTTATTATCGTTGCTCTCGGCAGGCAGGTCTATGCGCCAGACTACGTACATACCTGCTGAGAGACCTGCCTACAATAGTAGCAGTACCTGACCCTGTAGATACTTGGCCGAGACTGTTTGCTTCGTTTGTACTGGTTACTGATAAGCAGCACATCACCTGATCATGTAACACTTCTACCGCTGCACTGGCCCGAGTGGCAGTCCACGCATGTCTGTCTATGTAGTGTCTCGAGGTTGTGAGCACCCCTGAGTTATGTTTCACTGCTGCCATCGACCTCACTCAGTGTCAAACAGGCGCTAGGCTCCGACTCGGAAGTCCCAAGTGCGCTGGGGCCACACTTTCTTTTCACTGTGCCTCGGCAAGCCGATCCTCGGCCCGTTGCTTCCCGCACCCACCTGTGGGATTAATAAAGTAACAAAGGTACCATGTACGGATTGGTGGGCACCTTCTGTCGAAAACAGCTCGTGCTGGTCGACGTCCGTCTATCCATCCTTCTGGGTGTACTCAGGGGTGTGTAATACTCGCAACAAAGGTCTGCGTAAACCAATAACGGCCTCCGCTGAACCTGCAGTGTAGGGCAAAGTCGGTGGCTTGGTTTCCAGGCCCGTCTCTTCTTTCTAGTCTTCACCGGTTAGCAAATACCCGAAGTCATATCCTGTTGGTGTTGTTGGCCCTCCGGGGGTATTTCCGTTTTTGATGTATTGGGGTGATTTGGAGGAGAGGAGCTGGTTACCTAGTTGGGAGCTTTCTACGCCCGTAACACGGCTCTACTGAAGTATCCCCACCAGTGTTCTGGTGACAGCGGACTTGTCAGTCGTCAGCATGTCTCATCTAGGTCATAGCACGGTGTGACTGCTCAGGAGGACTTCCACGTACAGTGCATAAATTGTAAATACACCCTGGCCTTTCTACAATTGGGCGACGTAGAAAGCGCAAGAGCGGATGATTATCGCCCGAATCACCCTATGAGGATGGAGGAGATGAAAACTGCTCCATGACACCACCTCCATGGCCCGTCAAGTTTTCCAGAAACGTTCGAGGGGTAATCCTCGGAAGTTGATATATAAGAATAACCAACCTGAGGAATTCTTCCGATGAAGATGATCGACCTGGTGGTGGAACTGGACTCCGCCTAAGCTCGTGGAAGATACCGGATTGCGTATGGTTGACGAGCTCCGGTCGTCGAGATTGCCCGCTTGTGTACCTCGGGGCATATACGCCATCTACATGACCATCTGCTACGCCTGCAACTGGTTCGGAGAGAACTCCGGACCAGGTCTATCAGGGAGCTTGGCCACGATATTCAATGAATAGAAACGCGAATGACTGAATCAAGCAATAGGACCTTCCCGGTCGGCGGTTACTTGCGAGCTGCCTAATCGGGTAAGCATCGTCTACTTGCCCCCTTCTCTCTCTCTCTCTCTCTCTCTTCATCATTCACTCTTTATCGGCTAGGCTCGCAGTTTTTTTTTCTTGATGCTTTATGAGTTCTTCTATTTCCTCTCAATCGTCTTTCACTCTTCCCTCTTTCTCACTTCTGTCAACTGCCTCAGTCGCCCTGATCCTTCCCCTCCTCCTCCCCCTCTTCCTTCCTGGTTCCAAGGCGCACGGTCAATCCTGGCCGACTAACCGTGATCCGCAAACGATCGATCGATCGAACCGGCCAATCAATCAGCGCACCATGGATCCGCTCGTCTCCCTTCGTCGCCTCATCCAAATCCATCCTCTTATCGACAACCACGCCCATAATCTCCTCGCGCAGGCCGCAGCCAGCAACTACGAAAAATATCCTTTTGAACAGATCACTTCTGAGGCCCAAGGCCCCGCCCTACACAATGCTCCGTCTACCTTACCCCTCCAGCGTGCCGCCGCCCAGCTAGCAACCCTCTACGATTGCCCGACTTCCGAGTGGGACCGCGTAAAAGCGGCTCGCGATCAATACGTCGAGCGTGACTATGATGGCTTGATCCGTCGGTGTCTGGAAGGCACTCATAGCCTTCTCCTTGATGATCTGCTTACGGATCAAGATATCGAGCCTTTTGCTTGGCATGATCGGTTTACCACAGCTCCAACGAAGCGGATCGTACGGATTGAAGTTGTGGCCGCCCAAGTCCTTGCCTCCATCCTTCCCAATGGTTTTGATAAGTCCTCGAGCGACATCACCGTTCTTCGGCAGTATTTGGACCAATTCCGCCAGGGTTTCAACCAGAAGATCTCAGAGGCTATCGCAGATCCCGTGGTGGTAGGTTTTAAATCGGTCATCTGCTACCGTACTGGACTGAACGTCCAAGTGACCGACGATGAAGACGACACGACCCTCCTCGAGTCCTTCTCCCGGACTTTGTCGCAAGGATCTGGATCTACATACCGCGTGGAGGACAAACCTTTGAACGATTGGCTGGTCAGGCAGGCCCTGAACCAGCTTCAATCTGCCAAGGAGAGTGATGCGTCGAGACCCAACAAACCCCTGCAACTGCACACAGGACTCGGAGATAATGATATCAACCTAATACTCTCGAATCCCGCATATTTACAGGATTTGGTTGCCCGTTATCCCAAGGTCGACTTTGTGCTTTTGCATTCCGCTTATCCGTATACTCGGGAGGCCGGCTACCTCGCCTGTGTCTACCCGAACGTGTATCTGGACCTTGGGGAGGTGTTTCCCATGGTGAGTCGAGACGCTCAGGAATCTATTATCCGCGAGAGCTTGGAAATCGTACCCACAACCCGCCTTCTGTGGAGTACCGATGGCCATTTCTTCCCGGAGACATATTGGCTGGCGAACAAGCAGTTCCGCGACGCACTGGAAAAGGTCCGTACCATTCAAAACAACCCCACATGTCCATTCAAAAACTAACTCTTGCTAGGTTCTTGTGGATTACGTTAATCAAGGCGATCACAGCATCGACCAGGCCAAGCTTGCTGCTGCTGATATATTGTTCCAGAACTCCAACCGCCTGTATAGCCTGAATGAGACGGTTCCCTACGACGACAGGCTGGTCCCTGCCGTCAGCACTCTATCTGGACTTTCTTCGACCGACGCTTTGGAATGCTTCATGCATAGCAATCCAGATGTCAAGTATATTTGGATGCAGTTCTTTGACTACACTTCCACTGTTCGGGTGCGGATGTTCCCTATTCGGGAATTTGCTAAGATTGTTCGCAAGCAACGTCGGATCGGTATCTGTACAGCGACATTCTTGATGCTCCAGTCCGATACAGTCTGTCCAGAAGGTTCCACAACCGGCCAGTTCTATCTCGAACCAGATCTCTCAACTCTCTCTAGAAATGTGGGGATCGACTCAAAGAGCGCCACTGTTATGACTTGGGGGCGTTCTGAGGAGGGTTTGGAGGTGGAAGGATGCCCACGGACCCTTTTGCGCCGCGTGACGACTGATTTGCGTGCCAAGCATGGAATCGATGTTCTCTGCGGGTTCGAGATTGAGGTTATTCTGCTGAAGTGCGTCACTAAACCGGATACCGATGAGGAAGAGTTTGTTCCATGCGTGCGCAACCACTCCTGGTCTCAGATGACCCGAGACACCCGTCGTATGGTGCCGCTGCTCGAGGAGATTGTCGATACTCTTGCATCCATCGGCATTGACCTCGAACAATTCCACGCCGAGTCGGCCCCGGGCCAGTTTGAATTCATTCTACCACCCGGATCACCCGTCGCTGCTGTCGATACCCTGCTCAAGGCACGACAGGTCGTGACTTATGTCGCTGAACAACACGGTTACCGCGCAACCCTTCACCCTCGACCCTACTCGCACGCTGCTGGCTCAGCCGCCCATGCGCATGTCTCCGTGACTCCAGCGACTCAGGAGGAGAGCTTCTTGGCTGGTGTGCTCAAGCATTTCACTTCTTTGACGGCCTTCACTCTGTCTAATGATGTCAGCTACGACCGGATGCACTCCGGCCTCTGGGCTGGAAGCGAGTGGGTCGCCTGGGGCACTCAGAACCGCGAGACACCCATCCGGAAGATCTCTGCGGGTCACTGGGAGATCAAGGCGCTTGATGGTCTGTCCAATATGTATCTGGCGATGGCTGCAATTCTGGCTGCAGGATCTCTGGGTGTGCAGGAGAAGCTGCCCCTGACCCTGCAGGACTGTTTATGTAAGTATTCCTGCCACTGAGGCTGTCCTCTAGCGTACACACATGCTAACAAATTGGTGTAGATGACGCAGCAACACTCAGCGAGGCGGATCGCAGTGCCCTTGGAATCACCACCCAAATCCCCACGACCCTGACACAGAGTCTGGACAATATGGCATCCGACAAGGCTCTCCGGGATGTGCTTGGCAACACGCTGGTTGAGAACTATATCACCGTCAAACGAGCCGAGAGCAAGAAGCTGAATGCAATGGAGGCAGAAGTGCGACGGAAGTGGCTGGTGGAGAGATACTAATCAAATACCCTGTGCATACATACATAGCGCATAATCGTAGTTAGCCAATACCATCATTACATCCTCTAAAGCTTCCTAAAGAAATTCGTACGGAGCACAGAATGATCTACTAGTCTAGTACTTATTTTTCCCAATCCGCCAACTAAATCAAACTATTGAGTCATAGTCCTCCGTAATCGGCCCACTCCCTCAACACCTCACGTGACAGCATCCCCAGTCATGTCCTACCTATATTGACTCACCTCCAATTCCCATCTCTCTTTTCTTCCATCACCTCCCAATCCCCTCCCAATTCCTCCTACCAAACCCACAATGCCCTCCCCCCTCCGCACAGCGGCCACAGCCGCCCGCTACGGGCCCTCCACAACCCGCCATGCCCTGCGCCGGCTCTATTCCTCGAGCAGCCACTCCGCCGCAACGCCGGCAACCTCGCCCTTCGCACCGCGCCACCTGCTCTCAATCGCGGACCTAACCCCGACCGAATTCGCAACCCTCGTCCGCAATGCCTCCTCCCACAAGCGGGCCATCAAATCCGGCTCCATCCCTCAATCCCTCCACGGCGCCCTCTCCGGCAAGACCGTGGCCATGATGTTCAGCAAGCGCAGCACCCGCACGCGCATTTCCACCGAAGGCGCCGTCGTCCAAATGGGCGGTCACCCCATGTTCCTCGGCAAGGACGACATCCAACTCGGAGTCAACGAATCCCTCTACGACACTGCCGTGGTCGTCTCCTCCATGGTGGAATGCATCGTTGCTCGCGTAGGCAAGCACGCTGACGTCGCGGACCTCGCTAAGCACTCCACCAAGCCCGTTATCAATGCCCTCTGTGACTCGTATCATCCGTTGCAGGCCATTGCGGATTTCCAGACGATCAGTGAGCATTTCGGTGGTTCTGGGAAGAACAAGGGTGGGAAGTTAGAAGGGTTGGGATTGGATGGGTTGAAGATTGCTTGGGTGGGCGATGCCAATAACGTGTTGTTTGATATGGCAATTAGTGCCAGGAAAATGGGTGTTGATGTTAATGTTGCTACTCCCCGGGGTTATGAGATCCCTAAGGAGATGTTGGAGATCATTGAGAAGGCGGGCGAGGGTGTTAAGTCCCCTGGAAAGTTGGTGCAGACGAATGTTCCCGAGGAGGCGGTTAAGGGGGCTGATGTGTTGGTTACTGATACTTGGGTGTCGATGGGGCAGGAGGAGGAGGCTGCGAAGAGGTTGAGGGATTTCGCTGGATTTCAGATTACGAGTGAGTTGGCCAAGAGGGGTGGGGCCAATGATGGCTGGAGGTTCATGCATTGTCTTCCTAGGCATCCTGAGGAGGTGGCTGATGAGGTGTTTTATGGACATCGGTCGTTGGTTTTCCCTGAGGCGGAGAATAGGTTGTGGGCTGCTATCTCGGCGTTGGAGGGATTTGTGGTAAATAAGGGGAAGATTGAGTGATTGTGTGGAGTTGAGTAGGGAGTTGGGTTGGGGAAAATAAAAGAATTGTGGTTTTTGTATGTATGTATAGCTTATTTTTTGGTCGCAATTGAGCTGTGTTGATGGCTTTAGCTGGCTTTTGTTGTACTCTACTATTGACGGCGTATACTGTTTCAGAACGGCATCCCGATGTTTGCTTTCCCCGCAGCCGGGAAGCCGATGCGGAGATGATCCTGGGGTTGGGGTTTCTGGTACGTAAGCAATATCAGAGAGAATATAAATGGACATATACCCGTCAGTCTGACAGACTTCCGATCACTATCTCAATATTCAGCTGATGTGTTGTCTTATGGAATTGTACAGCAGACCTCACTCGGTCAGTATCATCCCAAATGCGCTCCATTAATCCGACTCTAGTCACCAGCTCTATTTTCATACTCTTCACTTCCAATTCAGCATTATCATAGACAAAAGATCTATTCTCTACTATACAATATATTCTACCACTCCAAAACAAACCTTCAAGTCTACAACCTCAACACCCCACTCTCCCTATCAACCGCTCCCCGGAAATGATCCGTAATGACCTTCCCACCCAGGATCGTCTCCTCCACCACACCCTGCACATGCTTGGGCTCAATACGCCCATACCAAATACCCTTACCCGCCAACGGATGCGGCGAGGAAGAGCCAGCTTCCTTCATTCCGGGAGGGATATATACAATCACGTTTCCAGCATACTTGTGTCCTCCAACATGGCTGATCAACCCAATGTGAGCGTGCTCGGGGCTATCAACGACACTGTTATCACTTCCCGCAGACGTGTACCCCTTAGATTGCAAGACCCGTTGAAACTCAGTCTCCAGAACCGGCGCCATGACACCACATCGCATGTCGCGACCACCGTGCCCGCAGATCAGCACAACGGGGGAGTGTTGCAGGTCAACGGCATCTGGGAACTCAGCTGCCAGGGATTGGTCACGTATCTGCCCTCCATGTCCTGATTCGCTGGGGAGGAGGAACGCGCGGACGAAGGTCGAGAGGTCGGTTGTTGCGGAGGCGGAGGCGGACTCGGGGACATTGACAGGGACGGAGGGGAAGTATTTAAAGCTGGGGAAGAGGAAGGCGGACGCGGTCTGGGAGGTTGCTGCGCTGGTTGTCGATGATGATTGTGACGAGGGGAGGAAGGAGGAGCTGGTGACTAGGATATTGTTGAAGGGCTATAGCAGCAATTGTCAGTGGGATGTTGCGACCACATGATGATGATGAAGTATGACTTACGTCGGCATATTTCCCCCAACGCCCGAGCAGGCGCTTCAATCCTCGAACCATCTCACCCCAGCTCTGGCCCTGACCGTCCTCTTCTATGCGACTCGTCCAGTCTCGTTGCCCGGTGCAGATGAGAAGTTGCTGCGCGTAGGCCGCCATCGTTCCGTTCAGCGGCTGGTCATAGTCGATGGGGGAGGGCATGGCCGGGGTCGCAGGGCAGGAGCAGCTCGGTTCGGGACATGTTTTGGTGACGGGAAATGGGGGAGGGATGTCCAGGGGTATGCGCGCAGGGTTTGAGCTGAGGGATGTGGATGAGAAGAGGCGAGCTGATGTTGCGGCGGAGGGGTTTGGTCGGGAGATTGGCGCCAGGCTTTGCAGCGATGCTGCCCGTATGATCCTCTGTCGTCCAGCCATATTCTATTTACCGATGTAATGCAGGTTTTGGAGAGGTATATAAGAAGGAAAAGAGGAGGTGGTGGAAACTGAAAAGAGCAACCCCGAAGCTGCGGAGGATTCGGCGCGGTCGGAGATAAGCGGAGATTCCCGAGTCCCGCCCTTCATAATCCGAAAATGGTGACTGGTTGGGGAATACATTGCTTTACATTGTCTCTTAATTTGGCTCAGACTTAATTAGACTGCCTGCGCGTTACAAGTGTACAGATCATGAAATCAGTTACTTAAAATATAGTATCGATGGTGCGCTGTGGATGATACTAAAAGTAATGGTACTCATCTGCCGGCCAAAATATATAAAGATGATGAGAATGACCGGACTAGGACATCATGATTGCAATCAACACCGTTTGTAGTCCATATCGCACGATCCACACTTATAATAAATCAGCTAGTACTAAGTACTAGTAGTACTTAGCACTGTACTACATTGAACTCAGTTTCGCTTATGAAATACAGTAGTACACATCACTTTCATGTATTATGTTTCTTTGATCAACAATTGTCCAAATTGCCTTGATGCATACATGATAATTCATTCCGATCAAATTGAGGTGTTCGACATTAATAATACTATGGTCATAACAATGCTGCATGCGGTCAAGCTATTCACAACAATGCTTGTCGCTATAATGGCAGACAAATTCATGAACCGAAAAAGCTGGCCTTTTGGCCGAAGACAGACAAGAAGTCGATGCTGCGATCCTTCAGATCAACCGTCCGCTATATCCTGGTTTCTCTTCATTATAATCATTTGGCCGTAACAGAAAAGCTGGCTAATGCGTTCAGCGAATCTGTCAAAGGCCATAGCGCCTGGAAGAAGCCAATAGCCCCCGCGACCAAGATCACGTAGTATGCAATGGTCCAGCCTAGACTGAGTTGGCCGTATACCGCGTCTGAAGATCCTTTTCCTTTGACCATGGGCGGTCCCATGGGTACGCCCGCCTCTACTCTTCCCCACAATCGAGGCAATCCGCACCAGTTGCAGAAAGTGTGGGCGAGGATAACTGCCAGAAGAGACCCAGTACGAAGGTAGACAAAGGTGGCATACCAGCCAAAAATCGTCGTGTAGCCGAACTGAAAGACTGATCTCAATAAAGCAGCGACGACCGATGTGTCAGGATGAGTGAGACGAAATTCATAGAAATGGTGTACGTGAGCAATGCCGAAATAGAGAGGAGCCACAAATACGATGCGGCCAGGATCAACCTTGGCAAGGAGATGAAGGGGAACGATGGCTGAGCGGAACATGACCTCCTCGGTGATGGGACCCTGCATCGTTCAATTAGTCAAAAAGCCAGGCATTGCCGTGATAGAATGAACTTACCGCTACATAGTTTCTCCATCCAATCCAGCTGCGAAGCGATGCAGTAACTCTGCCTCCCTGAATCCACTCTCTCCATTCGCCTTCAGCAATACCACGCTCAAACAGTGGACCGGCGAATAGGATGGCTGTGAGGAGCAAGCTGCGGAAAATGTCCACGAGACCGACAGGCCACCATCCCAAGAAGTGGAGAGCTCGTGAGAAAGAGGCATTTTCTTTGGCAGCGAGTAGCCATAAGACGACCAGGCTACTGATGGTGCATGAGAATGTCACTGCTCTAATTCTGGCCCGGATTACCGACGGCGCATCTCTACTCAGGGTGGGCGATGGCCGGGTCGTGGGGTTCACATAGAAAGGAACCACATAGACCAGGGTAAGGCAAACCTAGGACGTAAATCAGATACTGGCCAGAAAGGAATAAAAAGACCAAAAGCGCAGGGAATAGTTGGTAGGAGCCAATGATCAGGAGTGCATACCGAGAGAAAGGCCGCGGTCTGTGTTGAAATGGCAGGCGCATCTGCGGGATAAGTCAGACAATGGTATAAAAACCTTATAGTTTATGAATTTACCATAGTCCTTTGCGATCAGAGTCCTGAGTTTAGTCAGGAGACCAACGGGAGCCATATCTGCTTAATGAGTGATAGCCTTAGGATGCCGGGCGCGCAGCAGTCCGGAATGAGAGAGTTGGTTGTCAGGAAGAATGTGTTCAGCCACACAAGAAGGGAATCATAACAGCAAAAGCAACGGAATGATTTGGGTTAAGATTATCCCGAAGAACAATAGCTGAAGAGCGCCCGGCGTTGTCAAGACGAAGTTGGACAAAGAGAAGCGAGGAGAACACGAGGTCGGCTGTGAATGCCGAGTTTTACAGGCATCGAGGCATCCAGGCAAGGCTGGGGATGCCTGTCAATCAAGGCCCGCTTGCTTGCCAAATCAACCACTCACAGCATTCTGATGTACGCTGACTGTGAGAAAATGGTTTACGAGTCGGAAATCAGTCTACCAGTTAACAAGAATAAACCTAAGAAACCTAATTTGCGCCTATATGCTGGATTGTATTGAAATGTATCAGGGTCCCACGTGATGTCAACCACCAGTCCATGGGGCTGTGTCACATGACATCCCGAAGCGATTAAAGTGGTGACTGCTGCTTCACGTGATCCGCGCCTAATGAAGTCTCGCATCGCGTCGCATTGATTTGGTATAGTGCTATTGCTAGTACAATTGCGAATGACATGGATTGCTATGATATTCTGGGAATCGGCTAGAGTAGGATGAGTCCCGATGAGCGGCTACACGCGGTTGCTGCCTGAGGCCTAAGATCCCTGCCCATCTTTCCCTTTTCGGTAATATCCTGCAACTCAACTGCATCTGCCCAATGCAACCACCGAACCGCCTGCAGCTTCGATACATACTCAATGTATCACTACTACTTCTGTCAGTGAATTGACCTTGGGGTATGGTGCATTTATGCCAAGTTACTGGTGCTGCTAAACCAGAGATAAGCCCCTCTTGTCGCATCATTCCAGTCCGCAATGGTGTGATCCCGGTACCTTTTCAACTCTTGCTACTGGCTTCTCCGGGCTACTCTGTGAGGTCAAATGAGGTGCAGATGGCGTGCAGCTGTTCCGAAGAGGGGTTACACTTTATCAGGCGTGATGTGCTTTGCCGATCTCGCAACCCCTCCCTATCGGCAGCCATCTTAAGATAAAAGACATCCTTGCACCTCACCAATTTGCTACCCTCATATGTGCCCATAGAACAGACAAGTTTTCTTCCCCATGGCATCAGTCGAAGGACCCGAGCTCATACGTCACGAGCCTGTCACAGAGACAGATCCTAAGCACCTCCCCACTGTGTCTCTTGGGTCGCTCATCAATGAGTTAGCTTTGTCTGAGAAGGCAGACGGCCAAGCTCGTCCAGCTTTTGAAATCGAGGAACATCCAATTGACGAGATTCGTCCGATCAAAGTCGGTGTGATTGGGGCTGGTCTGGCTGGAATTACAGCAGGAGTCTTGCTCCCAGCAAAACTGCCTGGTCTGGACCTACGGATCTATGAGAAAAACTCCGGTGTGGTAAGTAACGAGTTCGAGTCACATACCATGCATTTCTAACACTGAAAACAGGGAGGTACTTGGTAAGAAAACTTACTTATTGCGTGCGACGGCTGGTGCTGATGAACAGGTTCGAAAATACTTATCCTGGAGTACGATGCGATATTCCCGCGCATGTCTATCAGTCCGGATTCGAACCGAACACACAATGGTCTGAGGAGTTCGCACAAGGCGCCGAAATTCGCGAGTATTGGGAATCCCTAGCGCGCAAATATGATGTGCACAAATACCTCCGACTACAACAAAAAGTCGACCAGGCTGTGTGGCTTCCTGAACTGGGTAAATGGCGGGTGACCTTGCAAGACTTGGGGAATTCCAATCAAGTATGACACTGCTCCTACTTAGCGGCTTATGCCCAGTGGCTAATCAATTTAAGACATATGACGAAGACCTCGACGTGCTAATCAACGCTATTGGCCACTTCAATGAGTGGAAGCTGCCCGACTACCCAGGCAGGGATGAGTACACAGGTGTGCTTTTCCATTCGTCGCACTGGAATCACAATGTCGACCTGAACGGCAAGCGCATCGCGTTGATCGGCAATGGAGCGTCTGGATTGCAGGTCCTGCCCTCGATCCAGCCAATTGCTCAACACGTGGACCATTATGCTCGCAACAGGACCTGGATAGCTGACTCCTTCGGCACATCTGGTGTGCGTCGACTCGAAGCAAACTTGTTCTCTCCCGAGCAACTTGAGTCCTTTCGCGACCCCGATACTTATCTAGCATACCGCAAGAGCGTCGAAGCAGGATACTTCTCTCGCTTTGGCGCCATCTTCAAAGACTCCCCGGAGAACCGCGGTCTGCGCGAGAAATGGACTGAGCTGATGAAGTCAAGAGTCGGCGACCAGCCCGAACTCATTGACAAGCTCATCCCAGACTTTCCACCCAACTGTCGCCGTCCCACTCCCGGCCCAGGCTACCTTGAAGCCTTGACCAAAGACAACGTCAGCTACATTCAAACCCCGATTCAGCGATTCACCTCAACAGGTATCGTCACCACAGATGGTATCGAACGGCCCGTCGACGTTGTCATCTGCTCCACTGGGGCCAACGTCGACCACGCCCCACCCTTTTCCATCGTTTCCAACGGGATCGATCTCAAAAAGGCCTGGAAACACGACGGTCTCTACGGCTTCCCCTACAACTACCTCGGAGTAGCTACCCCAGGCTTCCCCAATCTACTTTGGCTTGGCGGTCCCCACTCCACCGGTCCCTCAGGCAGTGTGCCCAATGCTCTGGAGAATCAAGTCACCTACATAGCCAAGCTCCTGCGAAAGATCCGCAGTCAAGGTATCAAAGCCATGGAGCCATCCAAGCAAGCAGCCGATGACTTTGTCGAATATTGCGACAAATTTTACCCGCGCACGGTCTGGACAGCTAATGACGACTCTACCCCGGGTCAGAAGAACTGTAGCTCATGGTACAATGGCGGTCGGCCTGGTGGCAAAGTCCATGGTCAGTTTCCTGGTAGTGCGGCAGCGTTGAATTACTTGAGACGAGATCCTAGATGGGAAGATTGGGACTATTCGTATACCAATCCGAGTGGGAATAGATTCGCTTTTCTGGGGAATGGATGGACGACGAGAGAGACGCTTCCAGATGCGGATCTGACGCCGCATCTGAAACGCCATGATACTATTGATCTGAAGTCTTATTTGGAGGGGTGGTGGGATGTATAGTCAATTATAGATGATAGAGCCAGAGTAGATGATGAGCAATCAACAGGTCGTTAGCGTATCAGGATGAATGCAAGGACTACCATCATCACTATCTCAATACATATAGCAGACACGCATCTAGAAATTCAGCGGCGACCACCCCAGCACCTCCTCAAGCCAACCTCCATCCCCCGATTCCAGCGCATGCATCCACGCCATATCCGTCATATCCAGATCCATACCCGTCATATCCAGATCCATACCCGTCATACCACTACCATCACCACCACCAGCACCACTACTACCCTCACCACTTTCCCCAGACCCGTCTCCATCTCCAGACCCCACCCCATCCCCATTACTACTCCCATCCCCAGGGACCCATCCATCTCCCTCCCCCCTCACCTTCCTAACCACCCACTCCCTCGCCAACCTCAACATCCTCCCCACCCTTTGAAACAAATCATCATCCGACATCTCCCCAGCCTCAACACTAGCCATCTCCGCTTTCTCCCCCATCCACTCCAGCAACTCCAACATATCCACCTCCTGCCGCACGGCGTCGCGGTCCCATGCCGGATCGTCGAACGTGGAGAGATGTTTCAGGAGCACGATGCATCGGACGAGCTGGAACCACATGAAGAAGGGGAATCCGGTGATTGTTGGTGCCGGGAGGGTTTGGAAGGTTGAGAGCCAAGATTTGATTGCTTGGAGGGAGTGGATGAGCGTTGTTAGCGGGGAGGGGGTTGTGGTTGTGAAGGGGGGAAGGAGAGGGGTGCTGGAGCTGGTGAGGTGGGGGGTTTCGTGGAGGAGGAGGGAGGTGTAGTGTGTTTGGAGGTGGAGGAGGTCTATAATGGGAGGGTGGTTGGTGGTTAGTAGGGATTTGGGATGGAGGGAGGGATGGGTTGGGTAGGTGGCTTACCGCGGTGGGGGAGATGTGGTGGAATTGAGGATTGGAGGTTGTTTAGTTGGTTGTGTAGTATATTGAGGTACATGGTTGTTGCTGAGGGTGTTGTGGTTGAGGTGGTAGAGGTATTTGTCTCGTCTGGGTCGCGGAGGGATAGGGCTTTTTGGGCGAGGATCTGTAGCCGGATTTGGATCGTGAAGTACTCGTCGGATGGGTGTTCTTTGTTTGTGTCGATTAGATTTAGGGCTTGTTCCATTTGAGGGGTCCATGGTAGGGGGACTGTGCGTCTAAAGGTGGATGAGATGCTGGAATAGTCATGTCAGGAGAGGTACTCTCGAGTTCAAGCAGAGGATGAGGATTAACTTACATCGAGCTAAGAACAAAGCAAGCCAGGACCGCTCGATGCTGCTCTAGGACCTCTTGTAGAGAATCATCACTTGCACTTTGCTCAGGACCTCCCAAGCCCGGTGCCATCTTCGCTATTATGGGCACCTCTGGCGGCGGTGGTGGTTTCTTGTCCAGTTGGAGATCATAGACCATAGACATAGCCAACATTATCATGCGAGACAGGTTACTTGCGCGCTTAACAAACGGATCCGTACTCCAGGCAATGTAGGTCAGGATGCTCAGCAACATGTCAATACTAGACTGGTTCTCAAGCATAGCTGACTTGGTTAAGCGAGACTTCAATCTATCTGCGCGAGCCAGCTTCTCTTGGGTTGTGGGCGTGGCTACCGCGATGATGGCCTCGAGGAGAAATGGCCGGTCTTGATGCAACTGCTGCGCAGTGGTGCTTGGTGGCAGACAGAAGAAAGGAAAGCATGGTAGCATGTTCGTTGTAAAGCGATTGAGATACCAGGCTGCCTGGTCTACATTCAACTCATACAGAGGTGGTGAAGGTGCAAATGGCTGGCTTGAGCCATTGCTAGGAGACGGAGTCGTAGTTGACTGAGATGGTGCAGTAGCCAGTGACGGTGGCACCAGTACTCTGTCAGTATTAGTGCCAGTGATAGCTAAGTTGCTGTTATCGTCGCTTGTACTAGCATTTGAACTAGTCTGCAGGTTCCTAGATACTCCAGTAGCATGCGCCACAGACTGAAGCATTGCTGTGAGGCTATCAATCCTCCCCTCAAGCTTCGCGATCTGCGCGCCAGACTCGGTATTCCGATGAGGTTTCCTACGAGTTGATTCTGATGGCTGGCATTGTTTCTTGAGACGCAGGCATCTGAGTGGCGATTAGATCAATTGAGTCACTGATTATACTGAGATGCTTACCTTTCGCAGCCGGCACCATCGGGTCGAGCTACGCACCGACACTTGGCTTTGGAACATTGTCTGCAAGCCTTGCCATATGAGCCAGAGCCTGGAGTTGGACCTCTCCTCTCCATAATAGCAGTGAACTAATTGAATAAAAAATCATGTGTGTAGGTGTACAGTGGTTGAGACGGAAACGGTCTTTGGCCGTCGGCTGAACCGGACTTCGTTCTGGTAAGCCGGACTTTGACTAGCCGAAGTCCGTTCGGCTTACATTGAGTGCCATACTACATCCAGATGACTTGCAAATCAATCATTAACGTTTGATCCATGTAGTAGTTTTTCGTACAGCTAATAAGTAATAAGCTAGTGACACCTCACCATCACGAAGAGTACGGCGCAAGTGTCTCCACCGTCCTGCGCCAAATAATATCACCCGCGTTCATGGCCTGCAACTCCAACATCACCTTCCCCTGGAACAGCTCCTTCATCTTATCATCAATGGCGAACAGATCACCACCCTGAACAGACTTCGTCATAGTCATACCAGCCTTCTGTCCCTCACCAAGCGGAACCCCCCTGCCACCATATTTAGCACTAGTGATCAAATACAACACCTTCTCCGCAGCATCTTCAGGAGACGTTCCAAACGCAGACAACGCAGCTTTAAACAGTGGCCAATACCACTTTCCACCCCAGGCCTTCTTAAAGGCATCTGTACTGACTCCACCAGGATAATGATGGATGAATACCACATGAGGGTTTTCCTGAGCCAATCTCGACATTGACAATGTAGTGTAGGTGGACATCGATTTTGTGAGAGGGCCCAGACCGAAGTGACCTGGTTTCTCGAGATCGATGTCGTCGAGGTAGATGGAAGATGATTCATAACCAGCGTTGAGGATACTCACGATGCGTGGGCTATTGGGCGATGAATTGAGTAAGGGGAGAAGTTCAGTCATCAGCAATATTCGGCTGTAGTAGGTGAGTGCTAGTGAGAGGCTTTTTCCTTCAGATGTTTCTGATAATCATGTTTTGTGAGCTGATACTCCTGGTCAATGGTGATCAGAAGAGGCGTACCAATGCGCTCCCCCGAGGAGATAAAGCCAGCGCTCAGGTACAAGCAGTCAAGACTCGTCTCGCGTCTCCTAATCTCATCGCACAGCTTTTTGGTATCTACTAGAAGAGACAATTGACCTTCCAACCAGGTGATCTGTGCCTGTCTGTTGGATTGTCGAAGCTCATCTAGAAACGATTGATGCTTCTTGCCGTTCCTGCCAATGACAAAGACCCGGACTGGCAGATTCGTAGAAATTAGGCGAGTAAGTGTCGCCTTTCCAATGCCATCTGTAGCTCCGGTGAAGACTGCCGTGCGAGGTACAGTGTCTGATGTGATTCGGGAGTTGGAGGCCCGGATTGCGGAGATGGTGGCCATTGCACGGCTTGAAGATGATTCTTATGACAAACTATAGGTAGTATAGATGAGTAATAGATAGAAGAATATTTGAAACAATGTCGCCCGCTAATTGTGGAGGTGGCAGACGTTATATATGTTGTCGAGGCTAAGAGGAGCGGACTTGAAGTCCGTCCCCAACGGCGATCGCTATCCAAAGACCGTATTACTCGCCTACCCGAGGCGAAGGGTATTCAGTGTTATTACTATAGTAGAACTCAGAAATAAATATCCAAGGATACAGTGTACATTACTATCTGAAAATCTTTCAGTTCTGGGTGCTATTAGTCCTAAGTGGAAAATTGATGATATTGCCCGAAATGTAGACCTGACAGGACTGATTAGAGCCCTGATAAGACGTAATATTTAGATTGAACTGTCTGTTTCCACTGCAGACTTGTGGCGTGCCTGCAGCCATCTCCCTCACAGCAGTGTGCTGAATAATGGGGAGCAACGGAGGGTTGTGAAAATGTCCCTCGTGGATCATGACCTGGTCATGTTGTGAATCGACCCGCGTTATCAGGAGCGCCCCAGCAAAATGTATTTTGATGAGGAGCAATGTCGCATAGGTTATGCAGCAAGACTTATCGTTTGTAAAATATTGGCGGGTAATCTAAACCAGATTGGACTTTGGGGGGTGGGCAGAACAGCCATACCACGTATGCAAACATGGTAGAACTATAGCCCAACATACGATATGGCACCCAATGCAAATAATAAACGCATACCTATGCATGCCAGCATGCTTCAGGGGCGTTTGTTCTGATGCATATAATCACCGAATGACATTGACACCATACGATCGAGCGTAGGTTATTGCCTCGTATGGAATATTGTCACAGTTTTTAATGTATACATACTCAACACGTGGGAAGTCGACATCCGAGGAACGTGCGTCAGCAAGCATTTTGAGCAGACGGCCTGTGACATCGGTGTTGGAGACATCTAGAGCAGTGAGGTTTGACAAACCTTCTACCAAGGTCTTCACGGTAGAGTCATTAATGCCTGGAAGCTGAGGAACTCCGAGCTCAGTCAAATTGACCGAATTCTCGGCCAGAACAAGACTGAGCTTCTCAGAGTCTAGTTGTGGACAGCGGTCGACCACAAGGTTCCGTAATACAGCCTTGGAGTCGACTATGAATCGATGGAGTGTGCGGTAGGTGACCCAAATTAGGTCACGAAGCATAAGAGTATGGAGATTTGGAAGGTGTAAGGGTTGCTCGGGAGAAAAGGGGAATTCCTCCCCAGGTGGAGCGGCACCTGCATGAATGGAAAGGTATTCGAGACTCGGCGGTAAGCTGAAAGTGCCTAAGAATACACCTTTCAGATCCAGTCTACGTAGCCTGGAGTATTGGATAGGGTCAAATGATAGATAGTATGGCGCCCAGACTTTGGGATACGAGTCAAGCCGTAGTTCTTCAAGGTTGGGCATTGAGCAAGACATTGATTCCTGAGATAGCTGTTAGTACCAAAAGCAGCACGAACCCAGACAAAGCTCATGAGACCAGCCAACTTACAGTAGCGGGAGGAATGTATAGAGCAGGAACACGACCTGGTGGCGGAATTGACGCTTCCGTGAGCAAGGTGATACTCTTCAAATTCGGCAGATGTGAATGCCAATGTACTTTGGATTCGGGCGACGGCTGGGCGTTATGAACCTCTAACCGTTCGAGCTGGGATAAGCTTGATAGAAACTTCGCGATATTTTCCTGAGCCACCGGTGTCTGTTTCGCGATAATAAGAGATTTCAATTGTGTTGAGCTCCTGAACACGTCGCAAAGCCCATTAGGCTGTGTGATAGGGTCCCGGATCTCCAAGTGTTCCAATTTTGGACATCTACTTAAAGCTTCTAGCACTCTTTCCTGAAAAGGGGTGGATATGTTGGTCATGACAGCATGAGTTAGCAAGGCACGAGAACGTTGGACAAATGCCCGAAAGGAGCGCCAATGGACCTTGCGTCGGGCCTCGGTGAAATCCAATTGCATCCAAAGTTCTGGCTGTGAGAGCATCCGCTGCCATCCCTTCGAAACTCGCAGAAGAACCCTAGGAGCCTGATCGTCAGCTTGCTTATAGGACCTCTTTGTACAGGCTCACTTACGCCAGCTCCCTAAAATTGAAATACTGCAGCACCATCATGGCCAACTCGAGAGGTAGAGTATCAAAGGGATCTAGTCGTTTCACTGATGCTTTTTCTTTCACCTTGCAATACATTTGAAGTATCATCTGAGCCGGTCAGCCTCCAAAAACGCATTTCGCTGCAAGTTCAGCTCAAACCCACTTACCTTACGACGGGGATGATCTTCAGGCAGAGTCTTTAAGCCATAGCCATAAGCTTTGAGAGCCTTTGCACGATCCCCAGTCAGAAGCAATGTCTGACCATATCGCAAAACGCCCTAACGCTCAATTAGCCTACAGTGAACATAATCGACCATCGCACAGGCTGCAAGCTACCCGTCCATCTTTGGTATCTCTGCGGATCATCTGCCGCGAATCATTGAGCGCGCGATCAAACTGAGTGAGCTTGATGTACGTTGCGGCCCGGTTGTCCAGGATGCTCATCACATCGGCGCCTTTACAAGAGAGAGCCTGTGGGCCAATTGCCTTAGTAGCCTTTTCCTTATCGGACGCGGTGGACCGCGCGAACGCACCTCTGTAAAGGCGGCCAGAGCGTCTGAGTAGTTGCCCTGCCTGAAGAGCAGCTGCCCTCTTCGTTGTAGAGAGTCTCCCTCGCCACGGACTACGCGCGCCATGATGCCAATTGGGAGGATGAGGTTGAGAAGAGGCAAGAGAACGCGCGAGCGACGCGTGCGATAAGAAAAGTGATTTACTTCCCTTTACAGATCAGATGTGGGCAGGTGCATGACATAAGCATACAGCGGAAGTGGGGCGTGGCGGTCACCGGAGTGCGCCTGCTGTTTATGTTCTTCCCCTTTAGGAATCCCGCGGCTGTCGAAAAATAATAATAACAGTCTGGCGGTCCCCGACGCATTATCGCAACCAACACCCCTCGACATCAATCGGCAACTCCTCTCCCTTCAGAGAGGTCGCTGCCACCAGAGCTTGCAGGCAAGCCATGGAGCCACAAAATCTGCAGGCAGCATCTACTTACATTAATAATGTCTTGCTGGCCAGGGGGCTGCTGAAGAGCGGCCATCCCATTGATTTCGCCAACCCTGGAGATGAGGAGGGAGGCACGGCGGCCACAATGGGGAGGATCATCAACTTGGTCAACGATTTGGTTCTACGCAGAGATGTACGGAGCCGCAATGTCCAGGGAAGTTGTTACACTGGCTAACAGCCACAACAGCGTGAAGCCGAACACCGAGAGAATCTAGCAACCACAATTCGCACCCTACGCGCGGAGGAATCGCAAAAAACAGCAGAGTTGGTACGAGGGGCATCAAATGTATACTTTGCGACCGCAAAGAAGGCTAACGATCTGGCTGTAGGAGAAAGTCAAGACGAAGGCCTCCGAGCTAAGCCGCTCCCTGGCTCTCGCGGAGGCGCAGGAACGAGCATTGAAGGCGAACGCTTCTAGTGCCGATTCGACAATCCGAGGACTGAAAGAGCAAGTGCAGCGCATGAAGACGACCATCCAGCAAGTTCGAGCTCAATGCGCCAACGACATCCGCAAACGCGACCTGGAAATGCAGAAACTGAAGTCGCACTTGGCTGAACGCCAGCGCGGAAAGCGGGAAGGGCTGTCGATGACCACTATCAATATCAACCCAGCAGCAAGTCAATCGTCTCGATCTAGACTGGCGGCTGGTGGTGAGGGCATTAACGATCCCGGATACAGCCTCAAGCAGGAAACGAACGACTTCCTTACTGAACTATGTCAAACTCTCAGCGACGAAAATGATACGCTGATATCATTGGCACGAAACACAGTCGAAACTCTGAAGGATCTCCAGGGTCTATCACAAGCCGAAGACGAAGATAAGTCCGCGACCGGGATGGCAAGCGTCGGGGCTGGACGGTCCCTGCAAGGCTCGGTAACGGCACTACCTACCTCTTGTGACGAGCTATCAGCACAAATGGACCATGTCCTCGAGCATCTACGAACACTGCTCACGAACCCATCGTTCGTACCTCTCGAGGAAGTAGAAATGCGGGACGAAGAAATTAAACGACTTCGCGAAGGCTGGGAGAAAATGGAAAGTCGGTGGAGCCAGGCCGTTACAATGATGGATGGCTGGCATAAACGGATCGCCGATGGAGGCCATTCAATTCAAGCAGAAGAGCTCCGACAAGGCTTAGATCTACGCCTAGACATTACGCAAGCACTATCTCAAGACGTGGGGCGAGACACGACCATTCAGTCACCCATTTTCGAGGACCAAGAGGCAGAAGAGGAGGAAGAGATACAAACCGCTGCGGAGGTTACAACCGAGCCTAGTCGGCCTGCAGAGTCTCCCAGGAGAACTCGCCAGTCGACGCGAGAAACGAGATCCAGGAGAGCCAGTAAAGCCTTGAAAGAAAGGAGTGACAACATCATGACTGGACGCTCGCCACGGAAGGTCTCATTTACTGCGGGTCTACAAGACTCGCCTTGCGAGCCGAGCGCGGACGATGAGACGCTACAAGTAAAAGCACACCGTTCGGAAGCGGTAACACGTAGACCATCAAGAAGGAAGGCTGAATCGAAGGGGCTCTCCCGCCAGGGAAGCAGCGCTCAAAGTCCCCAGCCCAAAGAGTCTCGCCGGGCAGCTGCTATCCAAGCAACAAGCAACCAAGCTCGCCTGAGCGTGCCACAGAAGCTAGCAGCTGCTGAAAGCGAGGCCCGGGAGGCAGAACAGGCTCGGAAAGAAAGCGAGAGTCGTAAGCGTGGGCGGGCTCTCAAGGGATCCAGCAAAGGCCACAGGGACCGACGCCGGAGCACACTCACCAGCGACGAGCTGGGAGAGCTGATGGGGATGCCTGCAAAGTGAAGTGACGATTTGTTTCATGATGATGTTCCTGGGAGACAAGCTTATTCGATA